TTAGAGTCATCACACAAACATATACGTTACTATAGGAACCAGGGATATTGTTGACATTGTAGTGTACTTGTACTTAGAGTCATCACACACAAACATATACGTTACTATAGGAACCAGGGATATTGTTGACATTGTAGTGTACTTGTACTTACAGTCATGACACAAACATATACGTTACTATAGGAACCAGGGATATTGTTTGACATTGTAGTGTACTTGTACTTAGAGTCATGACACAAACATATACGTTACTATAGGAACCAGGGATATTGTTGACATTGTAGTGTACTTGTACTTAGAGTCATCAGACAAACATATACGTTACTATAGGAACCAGGGATATTGTTGACACTGTAGTGTACTTGTACTTACAGTCATGACACAAACATATACGTTACTATAGGAACCAGGGATATTGTTGACATTGTAGTGTACTTGTACTTAGAGTCATCACACAAACATATACGTTACAATAGGAACCCTTGATATTGTTGACATTGTAGTGTACTTGTTCTTAGAGTCATGACACAAACATATACGTTACTATAGGAACCAGGGATATTGTTGACATTGTAGTGTACTTGTACTTAGAGTCATCACACAAACATATACGTTACTATAGGAACCCTTGATATTGTTGACATTGTAGTGTACTTGTACTTAGAGTCATCGCACAAACATATACGTTACTATAGGAACCAGGGATATTGTTGACATTGTAGTGTACTTGTACTTAGAGTCATGACACAAACATATACGTTACTATAGGAACCCTTGATATTGTTGACATTGTAGTGTACTTGTTCTTAGAGTCATCACACAAACATATACGTTACTATAGGAACCAGGGATATTGTTGACATTGTAGTGTACTTGTTCTTAGAGTCATGACACAAACATATACGTTACTATAGGAACCAGGGATATTGTTGACACTGTAGTGTACTTGTACTTACAGTCATCACACAAACATATACGTTACTATAGGAACCAGGGATATTGTTGACATTGTAGTGTACTTGTTCTTAGAGTCATGACACAAACATATACGTTACAATAGGAACCAGGGATATTGTTGACATTGTAGTGTACTTGTACTTAGAGTCATCGCACAAACATATACGTTACAATAGGAACCAGGGATATTGTTGACATTGTAGTGTACTTGTACTTAGAGTCATCACACAAACATATACGTTACTATAGGAACCAGGGATATTGTTTGACATTGTAGTGTACTTGTACTTAGAGTCATGACACAAACATATACGTTACTATAGGAACCCTTGATATTGTTGACATTGTAGTGTACTTGTACTTAGAGTCATCGCACAAACATATACGTTACTATAGGAACCAGGGATATTGTTGACATTGTAGTGTACTTGTACTTAGAGTCATCGCACAAACATATACGTTACTATAGGAACCAGGGATATTGTTTGACATTGTAGTGTACTTGTACTTAGAGTCATCGCACAAACATATACGTTACTATAGGAACCAGGGATATTGTTGACATTGTAGTGTACTTTGTACTTGTACTTATCATCACACAAACATATACGTTACTATAGGAACCAGGGATATTGTTTGACATTGTAGTGTACTTGTACTTAGAGTCATCGCACAAACATATACGTTACTATAGGAACCAGGGATATTGTTGACACTGTAGTGTACTTGTACTTAGAGTCATCGCACAAACATATACGTTACTATAGGAACCAGGGATATTGTTGACACTGTAGTGTACTTGTACTTAGAGTCATGACACAAACATATACGTTACTATAGGAACCAGGGATATTGTTGACATTGTAGTGTACTTGTACTTAGAGTCATCAGACAAACATATACGTTACTATAGGAACCAGGGATATTGTTGACATTGTAGTGTACTTGTACTTACAGTCATGACACAAACATATACGTTACTATAGGAACCAGGGATATTGTTTGACATTGTAGTGTACTTGTACTTACAGTCATGACACAAACATATACGTTACTATAGGAACCAGGGATATTGTTGACATTGTAGTGTACTTGTACTTAGAGTCATCACACAAACATATACGTTACTATAGGAACCAGGGATATTGTTGACATTGTAGTGTACTTGTACTTAGAGTCATCACACAAACATATACGTTACTATAGGAACCAGGGATATTGTTGACATTGTAGTGTACTTGTACTTAGAGTCATCGCACAAACATATACGTTACTATAGGAACCAGGGATATTGTTGACATTGTAGTGTACTTGTACTTAGAGTCATGACACAAACATATACGTTACTATAGGAACCAGGGATATTGTTGACATTGTAGTGTACTTGTACTTAGAGTCATGACACAAACATATACGTTACTATAGGAACCAGGGATATTGTTGACATTGTAGTGTACTTGTACTTAGAGTCATGACACAAACATATACGTTACTATAGGAACCAGGGATATTGTTGACATTGTAGTGTACTTGTACTTAGAGTCATGACACAAACATATACGTTACTATAGGAACCAGGGATATTGTTGACACTGTAGTGTACTTGTACTTACAGTCATGACACAAACATATACGTTACTATAGGAACCAGGGATATTGTTGACACTGTAGTGTACTTGTACTTACAGTCATGACACAAACATATACGTTACTATAGGAACCAGGGATATTGTTGACATTGTAGTGTACTTGTACTTAGAGTCATGACACACAAACATATACGTTACTATAGGAACCAGGGATATTGTTGACATTGTAGTGTCCTTGTACTTAGAGTCATCACACAAACATATACGTTACTATAGGAACCAGGGATATTGTTGACATTGTAGTGTACTTGTACTTAGAGTCATCACACAAACATATACGTTACTATAGGAACCAGGGATATTGTTGACATTGTAGTGTACTTGTTCTTAGAGTCATGACACAAACATATACGTTACTATAGGAACCAGGGATATTGTTTGACATTGTAGTGTACTTGTACTTACAGTCATGACACAAACATATACGTTACTATAGGAACCAGGGATATTGTTTGACATTGTAGTGTACTTGTACTTACAGTCATGACACAAACATATACGTTACTATAGGAACCAGGGATATTGTTGACATTGTAGTGTACTTGTACTTAGAGTCATCACACAAACATATACGTTACTATAGGAACCAGGGATATTGTTGACATTGTAGTGTACTTGTACTTAGAGTCATCAGACAAACATATACGTTACTATAGGAACCAGGGATATTGTTGACATTGTAGTGTACTTGTACTTAGAGTCATCACACAGAAAGATAGGTAACTTCACAACATAGCGGGTATCAACTGATTTATTTGCTTGTGTAGGCGTGACTGGTATACCATTACCTTGAATTATTTCTGTAAATAGTATGAATACAATCTATTAAGGTGACTGGCTAAAACAATCTACGAAGATCAATAGTATCAATATAATACACTACTGATTTCAAATCACAGCCTTCTCAAGTTTCACTTCTATTTTAAGACAATTGTCTGGGATTTTAAATAAAATAAACCTAAGTAATGACAGGTATATGTACAGTATACTACGTTTTAGACGAACAACGCTTATAACGAACTGACAGTTTGTCCCGGCCTCTGGTATATTTAAGTCGAAAAGAAAACTAAACTCGAAATGTATAATATCTCTAACGCACAGTCTTGCACCAAACCCCACCTCAGTGACCAGGATATAAAATGGTCGGACCCTTATGGGAGCGTAACATAGTTCTAACACGCCTGTGATAATGAATATAGTGTCCACACTAGACATGTTATCTTATACCTGGGTACTTGCCAACACACTTGAGAGTATTTGTTACTGTGTGATTTACACACCACACGTCATCCAGGCAGCAAACTGGTGCAATAATATTCAATGAGGCCTGTGTTTGTTTTCCTGATGTGGCTACATATTTATATCACCCCGTCATGATTCTCAATGACGTCATGGAATTATCAAACGTTGGTTATATGCAAGGTAAAATATCTTCGGATGTAACGAGCGCATTCATTTCGGTATATCCAAACTTCGTTATACCGGAACTGTTCAAGAGAACCAATTCATATGAACAACGTTTTACAGGGCTTCCTCTACGTACAGAGAATGTGTAGACAGTTGTAAATAGTTATCACTTTCGGTCCCACGGGATGTAGACAAACATGAAATAAACATGGTTTACAGAAGAAACCCAGTTATTAAAGTATCGTAATATAATGTAATGAAAAGAAGCCCAGGGACCTGCACTATTGTAGACTTACATGGGCTGTATAGATATATACGTGTATTTGTTTCGTGGTCTGTGAAAAATACTACAGATACAGTTGAAGACAGTTAAACAATGCTCATGCAAACAGCATGTACGTTACAGTTTATAATCAATGTCTGAAATTCTTTGCTCAGTTATACGTCCTACCTATAATAACTGTTCTTCACAACGTCTCATAAGATCCCGATATCATTCCTCAGGCTGGGACTCCTGAATTATCAGGAACTTTGAATGGGCTATGCAAGAGTGAGTGAGTATGGGTTTACGCCGCTTTTAGCAATATTCCAGCCATATGGCGGTGGTCTGTAAATAATCCAGTAATCAACAGCATGAGCATCGATCTGCGCAATTGGGATACGGTGACATGTGCCAGCGACCATGACCTCCCAATCCCGTTACTCGCCTCTTAGGACAAGCATGGGTATTGAAGACCATTTCTAACTCGGATCATCATGGGTACAAAACTATGCAGCCAGTGTTAGCGTTTTGCTGTTGCGGGAAGAAGTGATGGTGAAACAGACAATGGAATTTAATAATCATTTCATTTTTCAAAGATGTTAAAAAAACACAAACTCGGTATACCTACTTTTACGCAGTTTATGAATGAATTATGCGTGAACTATCGTTTCTTATAAAAACAACAATTGGCATATTCAGTATCAAGAACTGTTCTACACTTCCAGGATTACGACGACTACGACGACCGTCGAGGAAGGGGTGGTCACGACAACGCAGCATACTACCACGACGACGGTCCTAAGGGGCGGGGCGGAGGGAAAGGCAAACAGAATGATTACATGGTAGAGGAAAGCCCCAAGAAGGCAAAAGGCAAACGCAAAGGTAACTGAATTTATACATGTGGGCTTGGTTACCCTCAGTCTTTAGTGAGCTATCGAAAACGGTTACGGGCTCCAGTTTCTGGGCATAGATCTTCTAGCCCCGGGCTCCAGGCTCCAGGCTCTGGACAGCAAATTCACGGTCACTGACACCGGACACCAGAGTTCAGAGGGTATGTGTTCCGGACAGTACCTATTGTTCCCTAGGCTATAGCCTGTCTCACAGTCCCTGAATAAACACTATTTTCGACTCCATCCCGCCCTCACTGTAATGGTGCAGCCCTAAATGAAGCAAGTCTAGATTTTCAACGGTGTCATCTCAACGGGGCTCATCTTTGGTTAAAATGGTGATGTTTCTTTCCATCAAAAATTATACATTTTCAGCCTTAGGGTTACCTTGTTGTTACAAGTGTATATTTAAACATCGATTCTGAATGAGGTACGATACCCGATATCAGTGTCAATTGAGATAACAAATTCATTCCTGGATTCAGAGAGAATCACGGCAAAGTGTGCAGAGTTGTCTCCCTTAGCTGTGACAGGATCCGCTGGTAGTTGGTTAGAACCTCAGATTAACCTGATTTCGTTTAGTTAACAAAGCCTCCATGGGTATAATCCATATGATACATGAATGAGCTTAAGGGTCTGTTTCCTTACATTTGAGGGTGACACGCAGTTACGTAACTGACATAATGTTGACGATACAATTACACTCACTCAATCAATCCAGTTTAAGAATAAACATTTACATTCAATGCATGATATTAGTATTTTAACTAAACGAGTGTCTCACTGAGTTGGGGGCGGTGGGGTAGCCTAGTGGTTAAAGCGTTCGCTCGTCATACCGAAAACCCGGTTTCGATTCCCCATATGGGCACAATGAGTGAAGCCCATTTCTGGTGTCCCCCGTCGTGATGTTGCTGGAATATTGCTAAAACTAAATTCACTCAACTCAAGCTCACTGAATTGCGTGTTGCTATCGCACATGCGACACCTAGTGTTACAACGCCTCACGGATCTAATCTAGAGCCGTAAACAGGTGACTAACAAGCGTGTATATTTTTAAACCACTATATGTAATTGCCGCAACAGGTGGTTTTCGTACGAGTGCAATTGAAACAAGATACCGCAATGGTCGATTGACGTCATTCAAGTGTTGAAGTGAACAGACATGAATCAGAACTATCTATCGATAACGTTTAAGGGAACGCCTCTATTGGTCAGCGATGGTCCGCGATAACACCTGTCTTCAGTAAAGATCATACGCTGGCTTGATAACATATTACCTGACCTCGGTCTTGTAGAGCCCCGGGCGTAATGACACAATGTCCGACAGATACAGACATGCTAATGTTTACACGTTGATCTTCCTAAAGGAGCTCAGCTGTACATGAACAGCCAAACCTCTAATACCCCGAGGGTCGTTGGGTCTGATCTAGAGATTAAAAGGAAGCCATCGATCGGTAACCAAGGGCTGGAAGACGTGACCAATTACGTCATTCTTTCTAGTGTAATAGCCTCCAGTCGGAACCTATGTGTTCATACCCGTACGATCAAAAGTCATGATAATGTAAACCAATTCTGTCAGGATCACACGAGGCGCTTGGAAAGCCTAGTGGTAAAGATTAAGGTTATCCATTCGCCGAGTCCGGGTTTTATTCCATCGGTACATTGTTTGAAACCTATTTCTGGTGAGATGTTGGATTAGTATATTGATGTGATTTCGGTAAATCCTCGTTTTTCAGAATACGAATTAGATGTTTTTATGTAAAAACTTACAAACACCACTTAAAGAATAGGCAAAACTCAAAGGTGGCTAAAGGCTGATTTTAGAAATGTTAATGAAGCGTATTCTTAGGCGAGCACGTCTTTGTTTGACATAAGATGATTTAATGGAAAATGATGTTAAAATCAGTACAGATATTTACTAACAATTCATATTGTGTCACGGATATAGTCATTGATAGATCTTCCTTTAAGTTTGTCACTCGTTTCAGCGAAACATATGTCTTTAGTCATGCAGGAATCCCCAAACCTCCGATAAGATAAGAAAAGACTAGCTGTCATTCATTCGAGTTTGTGTAATAATTTCGAACCAGTTTTTTTTAAATTTTCCAGTAAGCCATGAAGGGTTTCGTCCTCTTGTCCCTGTACATCCTTGGTCCGGCTGAAGTATAACAGTAGTGACTTGTGCATTAGGTAGTTGAGTATAGCGGTGTCTTAATGTCTGCATACATACAGATGATGTGACAATGTAAACACGGCGTATTGTTTGTTTACAGCACTGACTATAGCAATCAAGCCTATATACATTGTTTGTTTACAGCACTGACTATAGCAATCAAGCCTATATACATTGTTTTTTTGTCTTTTGCTTAACGTCAAACTCAGCAATAGTCCAGCTACATGACTGCGATCTATAAATAATCGAGTCTGAACCAGACAATCCAGTGATTGGCAATATGAGCATCGATAATTTGGATACGATGACACGTGTCTACCAAGTCAGCAAGCTTGACCACACGATCCCGTCAGTCGACAAGAAATATGTTCCTGAAGACCAGTTCTACATATGTCCATGCATATATACATGTCACGCCAACATCAAGTCACGCACGCCGTCTTACAGTCACGATAGTTTAATCAAAGTCATGAAGTAGTCCAATGATGAATTTAGTGAAGTCACTTTAACCCAAGAACCCGTGAAGATCTGGGTTAGAATTGGTCTTCAGTAACCCATGCTTGTCATAAGAGGCGACTAACGGGATCGGGTGGTCAGGCTCGATGACACACGTCATCGTGTCCAAATTGAGCAGATCGATGTTGATCACTGGATTGTCTATTCCAGATTCGATTATTTACAGACACCCCCATATAGCTGGAATATTGCAGAGTGTGGCGTAAAACTAAACTCACTCACGAAAAGAAATCGGCGTAGCTCAATATGAATAAACGTGAGACTCTCTCATTTGTTCATTTGATTTGCGTGACATGAGATAGTAGATGCACCTGTAGTCTCAACACCGAAGTCATCATGTCTATTTGAGAACATAGTCACTGCCTCGCGAACACTCAATGGTGTTTTACAACGTTCTGTGTAACTCAATACGAATAGAATTCCAACACAAACACGCCCTGTTTAGTCAGTAAGAAAGTATACACACATCTCAGGGCCTATTATTAGCCTAGTGCGTCTGACGAGTCACGATATAAACTTACCTGTTATCTAGAAGGGCTTCCGTGTGCCCAACCTTTGGTTGATCGTGATGAGGTCGGGTGCTTACATGTATGACTAACCCATGATATCAGAGACTTGTTCATTCTTATAATGTTCGGGTGATGTACTTATAATACATTCACCAATAGGCGGTGTAAATATACATAAACAGGCTGTGTTTAAAGCGGTTTTAGTACCACGTATTTTAGTGCTGAGTCAGGCGTAGATGATGTGGAGAGTTGAGAAACGCTGTCATTGAAGGGACGGATTAATAGTGATTCAGAATGGGTGAGATTGAGTGGAGTGAAACTGGATGTATGTCGTGTTTAAAAGAATTACACTTCCATTTCGTTTTGCGATATCATGCATACCCAGTCCTACTTGACATAGAGGGGTTATACAGGCAAGAATGGCTCTGTTTGTTATGTAACGCTGCGCAGAAATATTACAGCGATATGATACCGGTCTGTAAATGATCTGGACCAGACAATCCAGTGATCAACAGCATCAGTCTACGCCATAGGGATACGATGAGTTGATCTTCAGTAACCCATGCTTGTCGTGAGAGGCAACTAACGGGATCGGGTGGTCAGGCTCACTGACTTGGTTTACACATGTCATCGGTTCCCAATTGCGCAGATCGATGTTCATGGTGTGATCACTGGATTGTCTGGTCCAGACTCGATTATTTACAGACCGACGCCATATAGCTGGAGTATTGCTGAGTGCTAACTAAACTCACTCACTAAACTTGGTGACAGGGAAATTTGGTAACCAGTGGCTACATGTCTGCCCGTCATGCAGAAGACACGGGTTCGACTCCCCTTCATGGTACAATGTATGAAGCCCTTTTTGTGCCTTGATGAAATTAAATGTGTTGAAAGCGGCGTAAAACAATACTCAGGCACATAGTATGTTTGGTATCCTAGTGGTCGACACATCCAGACTCGATTATCTACAGACCGCCGCCATATAGCTGGCATATCGCTGAGTGCGGCGTAAAGCTAAACTCACTCACTCACTACATCAGTGTTTTCCAATTTCTAAATCCAAAAATTAGCCAAGCATGACCCATGTTATGTAGAGGAAGAAAGCCCTCTTTTGATTTCACGAGGTGGGTACGTTTTTTCAGTCGTTAGATATACATGCTTCACTGTATGTGTAATATTGCTGTGTAAATGGCATTCTTGGAAGAAGGAATTCAGTGTTCACTACAACGATGGAGTGTGTTATTCACACGGGTGTCAGGAATTTCTGGGTCAGGGTGCAGTGTACACGCTACAGTAACTTCCTTAACAGCGACACCTGAATAGATCCCAATACAACTAACTCTCTGAAGCGGAACAAGGGGGGATCCTTAGTCTCACAGTCCCTGAGCCACATGATTTTCCCTACTGCCTAGCCCTCCTGCAATGCTAAAGCTGTAAATAAAGCAAGTGTAGATTTCTTCAGGTTCTGATTCTCCCATCTCATTGGGACTCCGTTTCACTTCAAATGTTACCATCAAAATTATATATACTGGTATTCAGAGACTAAGCGTTGGTCGGAGGTCTTGTGGGGGCACTGGGGATCCTGTACAATTCGGGGTTTCACAGTGGAGACATCTGTGCTTTGTGTTCAGTTCTTGGTGATACTTCCTTGTCGCGAAAGCTGGCTTTGTCCTAGACTAACGTGGAGTCTCTGAAATGGAAATATTTGACAGAAAAAACAAACAGGTATTACATCATCTACATAAACTATGAAGGAGCATAGAGACATTTTCAGAACAGGAGTATCATAGTCGTTCC